AGTGGAGAAGATCTATATCGAAAAGACTGTATAGATCCACGCAATCGTTGGACGTGCATGATCTGCTTGATTTCTCTTCGCGAAAAGCTAGGAGAAGAGAGGATGGTGACGAAGAACTCCTTCTGAGATCCTGCTGCTCATTAGAAAAATAATTGCCTTTGATTCTCGTCTCGTCTTCATTAATTCTTAGAGATCCTTTTCTCGCAAATATTTCATTTATCTCGTAGCTATCTACATACATTGCAATGGTCATGTGTTGAACTTGTGTTTGATCGACGTTGCCACCGCTATTGCACCCGTTTGACAAAATTTCGGTGTTGTCCAAGCTCTTTACAATTTGATTGAAGGATTAGAGCAACTTAAATTAGAGCAACTTTCCAATACGCTTCTACAATATTCGAAATCAGTATTTCACACCAGTTCTATGTCCCAATTTCACAACTATCCTCTATGCTAGTGTGACCACCAACATAAACTAAAATAAGACCATATACCTTTCACAGTATCAAATAACGTATACGCCAGATAAAAACAGATGCTGGGGCAACCGACAGCATAGCTATACATCAGTTATCAAAATTCAATCCGAGCTACAGAACGTCTCATTTAGCACCAAACTGTTTGCTGTAATCGACATATTTTGATGGATATTCTAAAAGGGCCTAGTCTCTGACAACACAGACCACTCATTCTAAAATAATATTTCGGTGATCGAATTCTAAAAGTGCCTGGTCTAAGTCAACACAGACCACAGTTTCTAGAAGTGATGTTTCGATGATCGATATTCTAAAAGTGCCTGGTCCATGTGAAGGGGGATTGGAGATCGAAGGTGCTGAAAATGATCTTTCAGTGATGGATAATATAAAAGTTCGGAACTTTTGTCAGCAAACACCATGGATTTTAGATGATGGTTTAAAGTAGGTAGGTGTCTCGTTTATTGTATTTGTTATCTACATGAAGGCGAATTTTATATCATTCAGCGGACGTTGGACTGTAAATTTGCATAATTTACAACGTGAATTTCCGAAGATGTTGACAAGTAATGCGATTGAAGGCGTAAATTTCGTCTTCAAGAAGCTAACTGCATGGTGCTCAGTGACGCTGGATCGTCTTGTGTTGATACTCAATAAGCTTCAACAGTTTTATGGGGTAGAGATTTATCGAGGATATTGTGATCTTGGTATGTTAGCTGCTAAAGCTTAGAATTTTCGGGCCTCAGCTTAATTCGATTTATTTTAACTTCAGGTGACTATCGATTGCGTGAGGAGTTTGGTATGTTGGCGATGGACAAATCGGTTTTGTTAACATTGGATCTGATTAATCCAAATGGAATCATTAACTACATAAGACGATTGGATAATAAATTTAAAGATGTACCCGTCCAGGAAGACAAACCAAAACCATTAACCGTTTCAATTGTCTGAAATATTTATCAGTGATGATACTGTTAGATTTGACAGATTAGCTCGTATTTATTGCATCACGCAAATAAAGGTTCTACTTGCACGTTGTCTTTCGTTTTCGGTTCTTTAGGGGTATGGATCGTGGAGAACAAAGCTAAAAGCGAAGTTCAAATGGTGGACTATAGACAGATCGATAAACATAATCATTCGATATCTACGTGCACATGTCCGTTCTTCCGGATCAACAAGAAAGGCGGCGATTGTAGCAACATAATGGCTGCAAAACGAAATGCTGGATTGCCAATTATCCAACCAAAATCTAATATGGAAAAATTGAGAGAAGCATCAAAACTGGAAAAGAATATCAGAAAGCCGGGAACAAAAAAGCCAAACGTTTTGGATAAAGAGACGGTAATTATACACTATATGGTTATTATTTTCAACCATCAATCCTTCCTCTCTGTTTACTTATAGCCAACAAATTCAACGAAAATAGTCCAGACAAAATTAGTTAAAAAATCAACAAAAGTTGCTCAAGTATGCCTCCACCATCTTGTACGTTCCCTCTAAGATGGTGAATGCTTTATTGATGGTGTTTCAGGCCTTGTATTGGTTTTTACCTAAACGTTGGAACCTATTATAAATGAAAGCCCATTCAAGTCTTATCCGAGTGAATATACTTGAACCAAGTACTTGCGCAAGTGCTTGGGTTAAGTAATGAGGGCAGTACTTGTAGACTTTTCCAAGTAAGTTTACTTGTCAAGTACTTGAGAAAGTACTTGACTGGTCTCATCCCAGTAAATTACTTGAAAACGTTCAGTCAAGTACTTGTTCCATTTATTCTTATTTTGTATTTTACACATATTCTACTAAGTTTGTTCAAGTGAGTAGAAATATATAAGTTTATTTTATAAGTGTATAATGATTGATATTGTGGTGTTTATATACCTGTGGTCAACGCAAAGAAAAGGATGACTGACTTGTCCAAGTACATGGCTGAAGCAAGTCAAATAACGACGCTTGACAAGTTCTTGCTCAAGTACAAGGCCAAGTACTTAACTTGTCATGCACTTTCCAAGTACTCATCAGGTAATCAAGTACTTGTATCAAGAACATTCACTAGGGTAGTGATTAATCATATTAGATGTGCTATTTTTTGGGAAATAATAGCACATCATTGTTCGTCGACTAGAATTTGGTACGTTTTTGCAATAAAAATAACCTTTCGATCTGAGATTCTCCTGGAAGTCTATAGTTGCTAAAGTTCAGATTTTTGTTGAAAGAGATTAATTATCCTCGAATCTAATACCCTCGGTTTAAGACGACTTAGATCATTACACGTTGTACTTGGCGCCACCTATCGCCAATTTTCTTTTAAAATACGATTTCAGTTTCAAACTGCGTTACCAGGTACTAAAATTTCAACCAATCGGTCATCTTCCAACTTCCATCTTCATTCCAACTTCCAATTTTTAGTCACGACCACTAGTGCCTTGTTAAGGAATCATAGCAGTTACAAGCCTCTGGCCATTTATTCATCTTTTTTCACATGCTGTCGACTAGCTTCAAGAAAGCTGGGTTTTCTGCATATTTTGTAAAATATGTGCGTTCGTTGAGAGCCTGATATCTCGGAAGGAATCATCCGTTATAGCCAAAATTTTTGGTACATTATAGTAACTATGAGATCTCGTCGTGAGCAAAATTTGAGGTCGAAATTCCAACATTCGATGTTTCTTGACATTCCCTGCAACAGGTCGAAAATTCAGTATATACTTTTCTGATAAAATATTTGAGTTTTTGAAAACGTTTTCTAAAAACCTTCTCAAGTAAAAGAATATTTCGTACTACTCCTAACCACAGAATCGTACTAAGCAGATAAAATTAATTATAATAATAATTAATTAATTGATCTTTTGTGACACGAGAGAATATTTCATTTTAGTGCGAAAATGTTGCTTTACGCTTTTCTCCCGTATTTTCGTCCAAAAAGTCGCAAACATGAGTCGAATCCCACTTTATACACGAAACGAAACTCTTGAAGAGACGTATCTAACTGTGCATGCGCCGATACCATGTACGGAGCGATTTCTGTTATTTTTCATATGTGTATACATATATTAACGTTTATGTGCTATTTCTCTATCCCAACGACTTCTTCTCTTTACCATTTTCAGATCATAACAATGGCTCCTACAGTAAGCAAAAATATTTCTTTCTACTAAATATTCATCTTAGTTTTTGCTAGTTCTTAAAAAGAACATAATTTTACACACAAGAACATAATTTTATATCTAGTTTTATTTGAATTAGCATTAGATGAGTTGTCTGGATTTTAATATGGAGTAAAATTTCAAATGGAATTTCTCATTGGATCTAAGTAGCCGACGAGTTCATCTGAGACTCATATACAGGTTTCTGTGTAGGGTCTGGAAGCGCTATTTGCACATGGCCAGGTTCTCCAGAAGCTAGGCTTCAAAAGTATATCTCGCTATTAAAAGGAAAATTTTTCTTCGCTGAGAAAATTCATTTTTTCTAAATAAGAGGCGAAAAACTTCGGAATTCTGTCCGTAATTCTCACTTTTCTCGATGAGAACTCAACTTTTGAGCAATAAAAACATTATATTCGGAATTAGGATCAAAAACTGAGTTGATGATACGGTTTTCTATTCTATCTGACTACTGTGATTTTTTTCAAATTTTCACGTTGAAAAATTACCGAGATTTCCACTCAAAAGTGAAAATCAACTAAAACTTGCAAAATATTAGAGTCTTGTGAGATAATTCTACTAGCAAGACGCCGAATTTTGTTCAGAATATTAAGGTGAGCGGTAAAGGTTGAATCATAGATAACATAAGCATATTCGAGCACTGGTCTTACACCAGTTTTATACAGATGGCTGCGTAAAAACGAGAGCGAGTCTCGAAAAATTCTGGAAATAGAGCCTAACATTTGCCGAGATTTTGTTGAAACATATTCAATGTTGGGTTTCCACGTTAAATTATGCGAGATAATAACACTAAATAGTCTGAGAGATGAAACACGCTTAATATTAATATTTTTTATTGAAAGAGTGAGCGATGGAAGTGTTTTGTAGAGTCAACGTATAACAGGCTCTAAGCATGAAAGCCAAATAAAAATCACTAGAGTTTATATCAGGGTACCTAAAGCACAGCTTCTTATATGTTAGAACATACGAAATAATCTTTTCCATCTTGCTTTTCTTCTATCGCCATTTTCAACTGTGCATAGCAAACAATAGACGGTTTAGAATAGCAACATGAAACAATTTGATCTCCTAGATATATGTGTTTATTTAACAAAGCACCGAGAATTTTATGACAAAGACTAAAATTCCCCAACTGTAAATAAAATCTTTTATTGTCAGCAGGTGGGATGAGATATGTGTATCATCTAGATGCGAATTCTTATCTTTCGTGAGAAGAAACCTATTTATATATCAAAATAACTTTTTAATTCACAATACAAAATTAATCGACAAAACACAGTTCATGATGACTAGAAAACACAAAATAAAAACAAAGAAAAAATATTTAACATTTCTATTTTATCTGAACGAATATCATGCAAATAGTGTTATTCAAATAAAAGTTTAAGTACATTTTTTAACTTTATAATGTCCATATTCTTATTCATACTTTCAAACATTTCAAATATTTTTTTGTATTGCTCATTTTTTCGAATTTCAGCCCATATATCTAAACACCTGTTAGCTTTTTCTTGTATTAAATCAGTTTTAATATACACAATTGTACTTTTAATATGATCATTATGATGATACACGATTGAATTCAATAAACAAGCTAAATCATACCATTTTTCATATTTATATTCAATAACCAAAAAAATTCGTGGTATCATACGTACAGTTTTCAGAAAATTATATAACCCGAAGTGTATTGTACCAGCGATTGGTATTGCTGTTGTAGATGATTTATCATCATCATCATCATCAGCAGCAGCAGTATGATCATTGTCATTATCATCAACATTACTTACAAATGCAAAACCAAAATCAATTAATTTAGCATATTTTTCATCATACGATACCATTATATTTTCTGGTCGAACGTCTCGATGTATTATGTTAGTATCGACTAGATATGCAATACAATCGATTAAGTCATAGACATGGTTTATTTTTAATGTTTTAATAGGGTTTAAACATTCTTTAAACTGAATGTATTTGCCTTAAAAATAAAGAAAAATAGGTTAAAGTACCACTAACTTTTATGCAATATATTTTAGCAGTCATGGATTTCTGTTTCTGATATTTTTCGAATAATCTGAGCATCTATTTTTGAAAATTTTCTTCTCAGATACCATGAGGTTCCAAGTCGAAACATTTCTTTCATAACCACAGTTTTGTGTAGAGACTCTTTTCGAGTTGTATCGAATGGATATATCAGCTTTTTTTCACAATAATTATTTCAAACAAAAACGGCGTTTTTAAGAATTGAATCACCGCCACACCTGTGGGACATGTCTCATAGAGGAAGAAAATATAGGTATATAGGTGACTTGACAAGGACTACAAATCCTTATCAAGTCATATACAGAAAAACCAATAAAATCTATCCATGATCTATTGCCCTCAAAGAGTTGTAAATACGATACCCGTCTAGAAAGAGTTACTTTATACGTAGATTTGGTTGGAAACGGTAATAGGAGGAAATAGACAAAACAACAAACGATAGAGTAAAAATTCATACACCTCATCACTAGAAAACAAAAACTTTCTTGTGGGCATACACGTGTATTCATTCCCCTCTCAGGCTTCAATTCATAGTTGTCCGATTCTTATGTCCGATTTCCTCAATCGAAGAACATTTAGAGAGATGTAAAAAGTTTCTTACAACCTTACACTTACCATCGACATGAACGTTTTCTATTTCAGCAATATGATGGGAAAATTTTGTATAATTACTCGACTCTTTTAAAGTTGACAATATATTCTTTTCATTAAGATATATTTTTTGAAATGCTTTATTTGTGCATAATTTTAATACAGGAAATTTAAAATCGTCTCTGTTATCATTTTTTTTTATCATTGAATAAACAATTGATGTAAGTCCTTGACCTAATTTTCGTTTTAAAATATATTCATCATTGTTTATAATCATAATTTTATCAGTTGGATGTATAATCAGTTGTGATTCATAAAATTTGTATGACATAACTTACATAAAAAGTTAATTAGTAATGGTCATGCTGACAGATCAGCAACTGTATTTTCATTTTGTTGATGATACGTAGTTAATGGGTTACTTTTAAAATAATCATACGATTGAAAATAAGCATCTTTTTTTTATACATATAAACTCTAAATATTTAACATTTGTATAATATCCATAAATAATATGTCTATTTATTTGACCATCAATAAGTAATTGACCATGTTTGAATGTTTGTCCTATAAGTTCTTTACTTTCTATAGAAATTTTTGGTCGTTTTAATTCGGCAAATGATACAATGATTGTTTGAAGTACATTTAATTCTGAATCAGCCACATTTAAATTTTTAAAAATATATGAACAATCTGGATTGTATGGATTAAGAAGGCACTATGATGAATTTGTATTTAAATGTTTTAAAACGGTTTTATTATCTAAATCTGATAACATTGTTTTAATTAATATATCGTATATGCTTTGTATGTCTTGTTCTTTTTTTTCTGGTTTTAATGCTTCACGAAGATAACCATTTATAATATTTTCAAATTTTTTAATGTTAATTGATTGGTTTTCAAAAGAACTAATGTCTAATACTTTCATTCTATTATTTAAAAAATTACTATAATAAGCTAAGTAGGTTACATCATCGACAGGTTGTGATGATGATAAAGATAGAGATGATAATAATCGATTTGTTGTTGTTGTTGATATATGTTCTACTTTTTGTCTCTTAACACATTCCAATTCTAAATCGAGTTGTTTTTGTTTTGTTGCTTCTTCTGACATTTTCAAACGGATTTCAGCCATACGAATATCATTTTCGTTTGATATAAACTACATAAAAACATAAAAAAGATATTAAAGAATGATAAAACAAATTCTTTATGTATTTATCATTAATAAGTCATTTCGAATCTTGCATGCAAAGGACCATCATCACTTGGGGTCACATAAAACGAAACAATAACTGAAAATCCGTAGAAAAATCCACTTTTCTTCTATTGAACATGTGAATTTTTATCCGATGTCGCTTTGCTAGGAGAAATTGCATGATGAAAGTGCCTGGTCTATGTCAATACAGACCGTCAACGCAGACCACTCATTCTAAAATAATGTTTCGGTGATCGAATTCTAAAAGTGCCTGGTCTATATCAACACAGACAATTATAAAGAGACATCATCAGACAATAAAGGTCAGTACTCATAGAGAGCTATTATAAAAGAGTGCTTTATACTGCATAAAGTGCTCTAGTTTTTGGAACAGACATCTGTCTACTTTTCGTTGATCTTTTGATACCAAAAGTGGTACTTTCTATTACCGATTAACAAAGTTATAATCGCTATAATCAATATAAAGATACTCGTAAAGAATCCGCTGTTTACCTCGAATATTGACCCGTTGTTCGTTCGTTGTACATCACCAATCGTTTTTCTACACATCGTTCGTCGCAATGACTGCAACTTCTGAATTAATAAAAACAACTTACTTCAATGAAATTGGTAAATTAGATGTTGATCTGCAAAGCTTATGAAAGGAACAGTGTATACATTTGATCGGTAAGCTGTCCATCGCGGTTGATGCTCAAAACGAAACACTCAACAGTACCAGCGACCATTCTTCGCTAGATGTCTCTGCTACGCAGGATGTCTACTCGCATCCTGTTTTCAAAATGATGCTTGAACAGAATGATATGTTAGTTAAAACACTGTGTACTCAAAAACAAAGTGCTGGTGTTTCGATGAGGACCTGTAACGTCTCCGCGTCATCAC